GTTGCAACACCCTGGGCTAAAGTGTTAGGCCAGCCAGAGGGGAGTGTGCTTCAGAACTCACAGGAGCCCATGGCTGGGGTGGCTGGAGTCTTGGTGACTGTGGGGCTGCAGCTGAGACAGCAGGTCCCTAGCAGGGGTGGCTATAGAGTTGCGGGTATTGTCTGAGGGCACCCTGGATGGAGGTGAGGCTGGGCTCCCAGTCACAGCAGCAATGCCCTTCAAGAAGGTGTGGCCTATGTGGTAGAGCCAGTCACCCTGGAACTGTTTGCCTCGGTAGTAGAGGCTGCCTGGCTAGGCTAGCCCGGTCTGCCTGCCCCTGATGGTCCTATGGGATCTAACTGTCCCTCACTCACATATACACACACGCACACCCCTCTCCTTCACTGCTGCCATCTTCCTGCCTCTGTAGGTGGGCCTGGAGTGTCATTGACCTGTTTGTGGTGGAGTCTCCTCTCCGGGTGTGTGGTTACGTGGCTTGCTCTCTACCACATTGACCAAACAGGACAAAATGCAACTCAACAAGACATGACACAAAGGGAACAAAACACGAATGTTCTCATGACACTGATATACCCAATATAAATGACCACCGGAGAAAAGAGAATTAGGGGAGAGAAAAGAGAGCACAAATGATATCAAGGAGAGAAAAAATGGTAAGAGAGAAAAGAAAAAGGAAAAAATATATATATGGGGAGAAAACACCACAGAACAAACAGATAAACCAAAAAATGCAGACCCCAAACACCCAGAAAAGAGGGTGGGGGCAGAATCTGTAGAGGCTGAGCTTAAAAACAGAAAGTAAGGTTAAGGAATTGGATGAATATGGGGAGGACCTCAGTTCAGTATAGAGGAAGTAGAAAGAGGATGAGTGGATAAGAAGAAAGAGAAAGTGAAAGAAGAAAAAATAATTAAAATAGGATAAAATAAAAAAAATATAAAAATAAAATGATGAAAAAATAGTGTGAAAAGAAATAAAAAATAAAAAACAATTGAAAAAGTAAAATAAAGAAAAAAAGAGAAAAAGATAACAAATTAATAATAAAATAAAATAAAAATGAAACAGTGAAGTATCGTCCATTTACACTGAGTTTTAATACCCCATGGGGGCTGGCTTAAGATCCCATTCTTCTGTACTGTCTGCCAATTCTCAGTTTCCTTTTATATTGTTAAAGTTCCAAGTGGTCCACTGCTCCTCTGCTTGTGTCTATCTCCACAGCTTTGACTGCCAGCTGGTGGGACCAATCTTTCCAATTATTGTTTAATTGCATGCTATTTAGCCTCCAAGTGCTTGCTTTTTCCCCCATTGTTTTTATTATAATTGATTTCTAATTCTATGCCATTGTGATCTGAGAAGATGCTTGATATTATTTCTATCTTCCTGAATTTTAAGAGACTTTGCTTGTGTTCTAATATGTGGTCTGTCTTTGAAAAAGTCCCATGTGCACTTAAGAAAAATGTATATTCTGTAGCTTTGGGGTGAAATGTCCTGAAGATGTCAATTAGTCCCATCTGATCTAGTGAGTCATTTAGGATTGCTGTCTCTTTGCTGATTTTTTTTTCAATGTCTGTGGACTTAATAAGTCATTTCACACCACAAAGAATATTTAATAAATCCAAAAAAGGAAAGAAGAATATAAGGACAGAAGAGCTTCTGTCTCAGTTCTCTGAAACTGAGGCCCCCATTGGAAACTGATCTCAAAGCTCTAGCTGGTCCACCGAAGAAACGTCACTTTGCTAATGTTTTTCATCCTTTTAGTGCTCAAAAGGTACAGAATGACTCCATGCTGTTGTCAGTTTTAAACAGTCACACCTCCACCTCCCACGGTAACAGTCTACTGCAGGTCCATAAAAACAGGGGAGGAAGGAGCGCTGGGGAGGGCCTGTCATTTTAGAGGGGACTCCACCTCCACCTTGGCGGGAAGAGAGGATCCACGCAGGGCCCCAGCACCTCCCTCCTGCAAACAAGCTCCCTGCACATGCAAAATTCAGTCCCACCTCAGTTCCTTAAACAGGTACATCTCTGAGTAACAGGTCAACTCCCAGAGGAAATGTGTCCACAGAAAAGACTAGGATGGCCATCTGGTCACTCTGTGACCCATCATAATTCCAGGAATCAGGAGCTGCTGGACTTGGAGTGGAATGGCTCAGACCACATCCGCCGCAGGTCACCCTGTAAGTAGGCCATCGTGAGGAGTGGCAATAAGTAAATAGCACCAAATAGAGAGGAGGGCAGGCTGTGCTGCTTGGTGAATGAGAGATGCCACAGTAGCAGTGAGCAGACCTACAAAGTATCCGATGAGGGTGCAGTGAAAGTAGGAGACCTTCTGCATACATCCAGAGATGTTGGTGGGTCCAGAGGCGCCGCAGGAGTCACTGTTGGCTTGTTTTTTGTAGTTGTCATAACGAAGGACAAAGCACAACAGGAGTCCAGGCATCACAATGTCTCCAATGCCCAACATAGAGAAGTGACTGCCAGTGGAGCTCAGGAAAACCAGTTTCCCAGGCAGGGACAGGTGAGGAACATCGCGCCCAACATGGGCCCCAAGTGCAGCTTCTGGAAAAGCAATTGAGGGGATTGTCAGCCAGCTAGGTGGACGCCTTCACCATGACGTTGCTATTGAAGATGTAGGCAGAGGAAAACACCCAAAAGACACCATAGATTAGGAGCCCTGAGGGAAGCAGGTAGGACACCTTGAGGCTGGGCAGGCGGACGAAGGCGATCATGGTGACACAGAGACCCATGGCCAGGGTGTCCATGAGAAGCCAATGGCCAGTGAGAACCCAGATGAAGACAAGCATGACAGACAGAGAGAATGATAGTAGCTCAGAAGCAGTGAAATGTCCACAGCAACTAAAGGAAATCTTGTTCTGAGGTGAACAGGTCTTGTTAAATACTGGCACATCGGGAGAAGAAGAAAAACAAAAGCTATCATTGCAAGAACTACTGTACATATTGTAAAAACTACTTAAACTGAGTAAAGAAGAAGAAGATAGCTAGGAGAGAGATAGATACTTCAATTGGAAGGAACAGGGCCTGGGTAGAGTCAATAGTTTGGATACTATTATTGCTGCTGTTGCCACTGAAAGACACCAAAGAAATGTTACTGTCTTTCTCTTTCTCTTGATTTTCAAAGTCCACATTAAGGGACCTGAAACTACCGTAGACTATCAGGAGAATGGAAATAAGAAATGTAGACACTTGACTGGAATCCACCAGGGAATAGGCCCACCAGTAGGTCTGCTCCGTCATGGCGCTGACTCTCAGGGGCTCCACTGCAGGCTCCGGTAGGGCCTGGTGGCCGGGGTGAGGGGAGGCGGGGGTGGGGCGACAGGCTGGCTGGAGCAGAGCGGAAGGCGCCGCCACGCCTAGGCGGAGGCCGGGCGCTGGCTCCCTGGCTTGCTAGGCAGGCGGGCTGGGAAGGCGGCTGGGGCAGAGGCGGGACTCCGAGGCGTCTGATCCCTGGGCCCGGGCGGGGCGGGCTGCGCTCTGGGTGGGCCGCGCTCTGGGTGGGACCCCCTCAGGGCAGCTCCCCTGTGGCTCTAAACTCAACATGGCCCGGGCGGCGCTGAGAACAAGGTGCCCCAGGCGGGCGGACAGTGGGCCCTGCGCTCAGTGCGCACAGGGCCAATGGAGCACCGTGTTTGGGCAGCGGTGGCGGCGGCTGGGGGACATGGCAGGGGAGGAGGTGGCGGCAGCTGAGGGGGGCGCTAGGTGGTGAGGGGAGGCAAATGGGCTCACACCCGCAGAGGAGAGGAGGGCGGGGGCCACTCTTTGCTGATTTTTTGTTTAGAGGATTTATCTAGTGATGTCAATGTGGTATTAAAGTCCCCTACTATGATTGTATTGCTTTTGATCTCTCTCTTGCTATCTTCCAGAAGTTTTTTTTTTTTTTTTTGTATTTGGGTGCTCCTGCATTGGGTGCATATATGTTTACCAGGGTTATATCATCTTGTTGTATCAGTCCCTTTAGTATTATGAAGTGGCCTTCCTTATCTCTTGTTACGGGCTTCACTTTTAGGACTATTTTGTCAGGTATAAATATTGCTACCCTAGCTTCTTTTTCATTTCCATTTGCCTGAAAGATATTTTTCCATCCCTTCACTATCAGTCTGTGTGAGTTCCTTATTCTGAGGTGGGTCTCTTGTAGACAGCAAATATATGGGTCAGGTTTTCTAATCCATTCAGCTACCCTATGTCTTTTGATTGGAGCATTTAGTCCATTTATGTTCAAGGTTGTTATTGATAGGTACTTGTTTTGTTGCCATTTTCATTCTTTATGCCTGTGTTCCTTATTCACTTTCTATTTCTTCCTTTTTACAACATTCCCTTTAGCATTTCTTGCATTGTTGGCTTAATGGTTATAAATTCCCTTAGCCTTTTTTTCTGTGAAGCTCCTGATTTCCCTTTCAATTTTAAATATTAGTCTTGCTGGGTATAGTTTTCTTGGATTCAATCCCTTGCTTTTCATCACTTTATAAATTTCATTCCATTCCCTTCTGGTCTGATGTGTTTCTATTGAGAAAATAGTTGATAATCTAATGCAAGGGTCCTCAAACTACGGCCCGCGGGCCACATGCAAATACAAATATTGTATTTGTTCCCGTTTTTTTTTTTTTTTACTTCAAAATAAGATATGTGCAGTGTGCATAGGAATTTGTTCATAGTTTATTTTTATTTTTTTATGTTTGTAGTAATATTTTAATGCACAAAATAGAAAAAATACAATGTGCGAGTTTTTCCTCTTAGGTTTATAAGATATCAAACCTGCTTTAATACATTCACTTTTAAAAGCCTTCTGTTTAGCAGCACATGCTATACAAGTACATACACGCTAGTCTTTTACTATAATTAGTTTTCATTTCAAACTAGTGACTTGCCTTTTTACCCATAGCTTTATACATTTCATTTCCCTTATAAACACTTGATATTTCTAGTGGTAAATTTTAGTCAACATATTACATAGACAAAATCTGGATTTTTAAAATGAATATTGTTAGTACTGTAGCATGATGGGTTTAATTGAACATGAAGCATAATAATAATTACATTGTACTGCTTAAACTAAGTCACAGCTGTAGGATTTTAGAGAACAATGAATGAATAAGTAAGATGATTTTTTTATCAGTGGCCATTCATTATTTTGCTTTTTGGAACCTGGAAGAAATTGTCTTCTTTGAGCTTCAAATGCTCTGGTAAATCTAGTCGTTTCTTAGCTTCCTCAATATCACCTTGAATTGCTGAAATAAGTGACTCTAAAGAATCAAAGTTCTTTTCTGGTCCAAGGTAGCCAGCAATGGCCACATTGAGGATTTCCCCATAGAAGTCCTCTTTGAAGGTATGCATGATATGAGTTTCCATGGACTTCTTCGTGTTCTTGTAGTATGGGTTCCATCCTATGCTCAGCACCATCTTATGGACTTCTCCGGTTCCCACACTGGCCCATCCGTAATAAATGCAAGTGGACACATCAGCAGGAAAGTTGGCGGTGGGGATGCCCAGCTGCTTGGAGCAGCGGCCAAAGCCGCGCACGACCTTGCTGTGGCAGAAGTAAGGCAGAGGCTTCATGACGCTGTCCGCTCAGGTCTCGGGCTGCAGCCCAGTCCTCAGGTCCGGAGGAGCCGCCGTGGAGGTGGTGTCCAATGGGCTGCGAGGCGCCGAGGACACTCCGGGCAAGTCCCTCCCGCTGCTGATCCAACAGAAGCTGCCAGGCGACTGGGACACTGTGTGTCCGCCTCCCATAGTTTTTTTTTAAACTATAGTCCGGCCCTCCAACGGTCTGAGGGACAGTGAACTGGCCCTCTGTTTAAAAAGTTTGAGGACCCCTGATCTAATGGGTGATCCCTTATGTAGCTTTCTCTCTCTCTCTCTCTCTCTCTCTCTCTCTCTCTCTCTCTCTCAGCCTTTAATATTCTTTCTTCGTCCTTGATGTTTGCCAAATTAATTATGATGTGTTTTGGTGTCAGTCTTTTTGGGTTAATTTCTTTTGGACTCTGTGCTTCTTGGACTTGTGTGACTTTTTTCTTCCCCAAATCAGGGAAGTTTTCTGTAATTATTTCTTCTAATAGGTTTTCTATTCCTTGCTCAGCTTCCTCTCCTTCTGGCACCCTCATTATGTAGATGTTGTATCGTTTCATGTTGTCCCAGAGCTCCCTTAGGCTTTCCTTCTGCTTTTTTTTTTTTTTTTTTGGTGTCTTTCCACATTAGCACATTCAGACCTACTTAGTTCTTTAAGACTAGATGATTGACTCCTTCCGCTTTTTAAGTCCCCCCTCCCCCCAGTTGCTGCACCGCTTGGGTGTTTTTTCTGCCTTGTCTTCTAACTCACTGATTAGGTCCTCAACTTTTTCTATTCTACTGTTGAAACTTTCCTTTGCATTCTTTATTGCAGCTATGTCATTCTTCATTTCCTCTTGATACTTAAATGTTTTTAAATTTGGCTTCCATCCTTTTCAGCAGCCTTATAACCATTGCTCTGAACTCTTCCTCTGACAAATTGCTTGCCTCCATTTCATTTATTTCCTTTTCTGGTGATTCCTCCTTTCTTTCATATGGGGGTTGTTTCTTTGTCTCCCCATTTTTGCTCTTCCTTTGTGATTGTTTCTATGTATTAGATCAAACTGCTATGCCACCCAGATTCTTTGAGTTTGGCTTATATAGTAGATGTTTTGTCAGACCCAGTGGCACAATCTCTCATGTCTTCTGGGCTGAGTATTCTAGGGATACCCCCTACTTGGGATATTTGAGTTCTCTTAGTGTAGTTGGATCTTGAGTGTTATTGTCCCATTCATAGATGGAGTTACTCCTCTCAGGATGTCTGGTTATGTGGCTAGCTCTCTACCACGTTGAATGAACAGCACAAAATACAACTCCACACAACTCGACACAAAGAGAACAAAACACAAATGTACTCATGACACTTATAACCCCAATAAAAATGACCACCAGAGAAAATAGGATTAGGAGAGAGAAAAGAGAGCAAAAATAATATAGAGGACAGAAAAAAGGTAATATAGAATAAAAAAGGTGGGGGGGAAGTATGGGAAAAATATATAGGGAAAAAACACTACAAAAAACCCTCCAAAACAAATAAAGCAAACAAAGCAAACAACAACCACCCAGAAAAAGGGGGTGACAGAATCTGTAGAGGCAGAGCTTATATACAGAGGCAAAGTTAAGAAATTAAATGAAAAGTGGAAGGACCATGGTTCAGAATAGAGAAGTTAGGAAGAGAATGAGTGGATAGGAAGAAAAGAAAAATCCTATATAATAAAGAGAGGATATGCAGATTAACCATCACTCCACCATAAAGATGGCAGCACCCACAGCAGAGGCTGGGGTTTATATAACACAAGATGGTTGCGCCCACAGAGGAGGCCAAGTTCCTGTAACAAGCCGTAATGAGCAATCAGCAGGGACCTGAGGCTGTGCCCCTCAGTCCCCATGGGGCTTGCTTGACAGAGGACCTCAGGCCATGACCCCCACCTGGTGGGGCTTGATGGGGGACCTCAGGTCACACCCCTTGCCCAGCAGGGCTTGACAGGGGACCTGAGGCTGCACCCCCCCACCCAGTGCGGTTTGACGGGGGACCTCAGGCCACACTGCCTGCCCGGCAGGGCGTGACAGGGGATCTCAGGCTGTGTCTGCCACCCGTGGGGGCTTGATTTGGGACCTTAAGGTGCGCCCTCCTCACCAGCCCTAGCTGGGAGACCTCAGGCTATGTCCCCCACTGTGACACTGGGCCAGGGGACCTAAGTCTGCGCCCCCCCGCCCCCCCCCCGCCCCAGCAGAGCTTGACAAGGGTGGGACCAGCTAGGTCTGGATCTAGTCCAGTTGGGGGTGGGGGGCGGCCCGATATGGGTCTTTTTTAATTAATTAAATCTTTATTGTTCAGATTATTACATTTGTTCCTCTTTTTTCCCCCCATAACTCCCCTCCACCCAGTTCCCACCCCACCCTCCTCCCTCACTCCCCACCCACTGTCCTCATCCATACGTGCACGATTTTTGTCCAATTTCTTCCCGCATCCCCTTCACCCCTTTCCCCCGCAAGAATAGCCAGTCCACTCACTTTCTATGCCCCTAGTTCTATTATAATCACCAGTTCATTCTGTTCATCAGATTATTCACTTGATTTTCAGGTTCACTTGTTGATAGATGTGTATTTGTTGTTCATAATTTGTATCTTTACCTTTTTCTTCTTCTTCCTCTTCTTAAAGGATACCTTTCAGCATTTCATATAATACTGGTTTGGTGGTGATGAACTCCTTTAGCTTTTTCTTATCTGTGAAGCTCTTTAGTTGACCTTCATTTCTGAATGATAGCTTTGCTGGATAAAGTAGTCTTGGTTGTAGGTTCTTGGTATTCATCACTTTGAATATTTCTTGCCACTCCCTTCTGGCCTGCAAAGTTTCTGTTGAGAAATCAGCTGACAGTCGTATGGGTACTCCCTTGTAGGTAACTGACTTTCTTTCTCTTGCTGCTTTGAAGATTCTCTCTTTGTCTTTTCTTTTTTCTTTTTTTATTTTAATTAAATCTTTATTGTTCAGATTATTACATTTGTTCCTCTTTTTCCCCCCCCATAACTCCCCTCCTCCCAGTTCCCACCCCACCCTCCACCCTCACTCCCCACCCACTGTCCTCATCCATAGGTGCACGATTTTTGTCCAGTCTCTTCCCGCATCTCCCACACCCCTTTCCCCCCCAAGAATAGTTAGTCCATTCCCTTTCTATGTCCCTGATTCTATTATTATCACCAGATTATTTGTTCACTTGATTCTTAGATTCACTTGTTGATAGATGCATGTTTGTTGTTCATAATTGGTATCTTTACCTTTTTCTTCTTCTTCCTCTTCTTAAAGGATACCTTTCAGCATTTCATATAATCCTGGTTTGGTGGTGATGAACTCCTTTAGCTTTTCCTTATCTGTGAAGCTCTTTATCTGACCTTCAGTTCTGAATGATAGCTTTGCTGGATAAAGTAATCTTGGTTGTAGGTTCTTGGTATTCATCACTTTGAATATTTCTTGCCATTCCCTTCTGGCCTGCAAAGTTTCTGTTGAGAAATCAGCTGACAGTAGTATGGGTATTCCCTTGTAGGTAACTGAGTTTCTTTCTCTTGCTGCTTTTAGGATTTTCTCTTTGTCTTTTGCTCTTGGCATTTTAATAATGATGTGTCTTGGTGTGGTCCTCTTTGGATTCCTTTTGTTTGGGGTTCTCTGCGCTCCCTGGACCTGTAAGTCTATTTCTTTCACCAGGTAGGGGAAGTTTTCTGTCATTATTTCTTCAAATAGGTTTTCAATATCTTGGTCTCTCTCATCTTCTGGCACCCCTATAATTCTGATGTTGGTATGCTTGAAGCTGTCCCAGAGGCTCCTTACACTATCTTCGTATTTTTGGATTCTTTTTTCATTTTGCTTTTCCAGTTGGGTGTTTTTTGCTTCTTTGCATTTCAAATCTTTGACTTGATTCTTGAGCTCCTCTGGTCTGCTGTTGGGAGTCTGTATAGTATTCTTTATTTCAGTCAGTGTATGCTTAATTTCTAGTTGGTTCTTTATCATAACATCAAGGGTCTCATTAGATTTCTTGTAGATCTCATTAAGTTTATCGGCAGCTTCTAGACAGTTCTTGAGAGACCTTAAAAGTGTGGTTCTGAACTCTATATCTTCCATTGACAATTTTGTCCTTTTTCTTTGTCTCCGCATTTTTTTTTTTATGCTTTCTTGGTGCACCCCCTAGTGGTCTTTGTGCGAAGTCTTGTTGTAGTTAAGCCTTGATTGTTGTAGTTAATACTGGGGGGATTTGACCTCCAGGCCAGCTGGCTGTGAGAGTCAGCTGTATCTGCAGTGGGAAAACTTCTGTCCTCTGGGGAGGTGCTAATCTAGCCTTTGCCTGAGGCTATCTGGAAAATGGCTCTGTGCAGGGCTTGGGCGGGGCGGGTCGCACGGGATCAAACAGGGCGGGTGGAGCGAGCAGTTATGGCTGCTCTCAGTTCTGTCCCTAGGTGCTCTGCCTCACAGAGTCCCAGCAACTGCTGCAAACCTCGGAGAGAAAGCTGCCTTGAGTTCCGACCGAAGCCAGACAGTCCTGCTTCTCCCGTTTGAGTCTGGGTCCCTAGAGACTCGCCTGGATCTGGAGCTCAGAGTCTGAAACTCCCTCCCGATTGAAAACAACAACCGTTCCCTCCGCTGCCAGCCCGCTCGCACGCACTCCGCACCTGAGTATTTCACTTCAGCACTGCGCCTCCTCTGAGTCTGGGTATGATATTCTCTTTCCTCCTAGTTGTAGAATTTCCACTCAGCCAGCCTTCCTGTGGTTCTGGATGATGTCCGTTCAGTCTTTTAGGTGTAATTTGAATTGGTTGTTTGAGGCAGCAATCTCCGGCGTTAACCTATGCCGCCATTTTGGTTCTCTCCCTCTCTTTGTCTTTTGCTCTTGGCATTTTAATTGTGATGTGTCTTGGTGTGGTCCTCTTTGGATTCCTTTTGTTTGGGGTTCTCTGTGCTTCCTGGACTTGTAAGTCTATTTCTTTCACCAGGTAGGGGAAGTTTTCTGTCATTATTTCTTCAAATAGGTTTTCAATAT